AATCAAATTGATTATTCTTATAATCACACACAAACACAAACACGCATTCACACACACACCAATTTTCTAAAATGATTGCCATGTTCATATTTTTTTCTATCCTACTGAAATTTTCAAACTTCAAGGTATTCAAGAAAACTAGGGAAACTATTATGCAAAATTCTAGTCCTCACTTACTTTAAAAGATAAAGAGTTCATTCTTGGAAAATAACTCAATTATATCTACTTTTCATTTTGTATTTTCCTCTAGTCTTTTCTGTGGGAAAGTAAAATAGCTGAATTTATTTCACTATTAACTTTTGCATAGAGGTTAAAAGAGACATGAATTTTTTTATGTATTTTTTCTTTTCTGAAGCTGTCTACCACTTTTCTAATCTAATGTTTATATTCTTTATGAAAATTTATACATTCATTATATTGTCTAACCAAATTGCCATAACTTATACTTCATATCTGCATATATTAATTTATAATTAAAAAGAATATCAGAATAAATGTTCTCTTGTGTGCTTAAGAAATAACAAAAACAGATACACATAATGATTCTAGTAATAAAAACTGTGAGAATGCAGAGTATGAGCAAACATTATGAAATATACCCAAATAAAAAGATATTAAAATATACTCAAATCGAACAGATCAATTGCCTCATGAATGCAAGAAATGACTACTACTGTCAACAAAGTCTTTGTTCTTGTTTTTTAGCTTTATTATTCTAGAACTCATTTTCATGTATTTAAATATAATCAAGGAAATTATCAGCTATAAACCATAATCAGCTATAAACCAAACATACAAGGTACTGGTTTAACTTGATGAGGGAAGCTTATGTTTTTGGTTCACTAATTTATTTTTTGTCCTAAAGATCTCTTTAAATTTTCTGTAATTTTTCTACTCTTCCCTTGTCAGTGCTTTGCTATGCTTTGCTTACCAATATTGTAACCAGTTCACATGGATCTTTCAAATATTGTTTTCTCATTCACCTGAAACCTGTGATTTACATCTGAAGGAATTAACTTATAAGATCACAAACAAATTCTTTAAGTCTACTTCAAAAATTAGTTCAATTAATATTTCATTTTAAAAGTAATCTTCACTAAAATGTATTCATTATTCCTCCATCAAATATTGCTAGTATTTTAAATTATAGTGCTGTGTCTTGTTACATATAATTAGTGTATAGTTACTATAACATATGTAACATACTACATATATTTGTTATACATGTGCATAAATATGTACACAAGCATACATATATAAACACAGATATATGTAGTGAGATTTAAATTATGATTATTTTATTACTGATTATTATTTATTACTTTGAATCATAGGGCTGTTAACATTTCAAGTTTTATATATATGAAAAGCTTGCTGTAGTATGTCTTCCTAATAATTTACCCTACAATTGCAATAGTTATTTTAAATTCCTTTTTTCCTTCATTTACTACATTGTGTTTGTAATTCTACATATTCTAAATGCTTCTTAATTTTTATGTGTTTAATTGTTTTACTTATTTGAAAGGCAAAGATAGTAAAAGTGATACATAGGTAAAGACACGGAGATAGATGATTGAATACAGATAGATAATAGATGGATGATGGATAGATGATAGATAAAATCTCCCATATATTAGTACAGTTCCAAATATCCACAACAGTCTTGGGTAGGCCAGGTCAAACCTGGAGGAGCCTAAAACTCAACATATGACTACCACATGGATAACAGCGACATAGTTACTTGAGTCATCATCTGATGCTTTCCAGGGTGCTCCTTAGCAGGAAGCTACAGCAGTGAGTGAAGCCAGGGCTAGAACCCACGCTCTGGGATATGAAATGAGAATGTTCCAAACGGTGTCTGCTACTGCATTCACCCTCCCCTCCTACCCACTCTTGGTGACAATTCACACATGCAAACAGGTCACCTGAACCTGTAAACATGAACATCATAGACACACAGATCATTTAAAAACAATAAAAGTCTTAAACACTTAAACACTAATTATTGCAAAAATTGTGGACCAAATTTTAATTAATGGTTCAAGGATTAAGATAAAAGTTTTCCTAAAATTTTTGATAGTTTTTCAAAAGTACTGTAAGATGCTCAGCAGCTTTGAAAGTCCACAAAAGAGGCCTGAAAAATCCTAGATTCAATCAGACTCTTTTTTTTTTTTTATTCTGATTGAACATTCAGGCAAATATCAAGCTAACCACAAATAAACATTGCATGAATTTCCCCTTAGTGAAAGAAGACCGCACTGTTATCACATATAACTGGAGTAATAACTCTGCTCTGGAACTTAGTAGAAGATGCTAATCATGCTGAATCTCAATTTACTCACTTGTCAATGGGCATAACCATATCTACTACTATACCTTATGTCTGGTGACAAAACAAATAAATAGAGCCATGTCACTTCCTATTTTCCCCATTTTTATTCCTATGCTAGTGTCTTTACAGGAACTATAAACACTGCTAAATTCAAGAATTTTTTACAGACTTCTGGGCTAGAGAGAAAATAAGAAAACAGCATGCTTTACAGTGAAACAGTGTCTGTGTTATATTCATATCTGAGCAATACAAATTTATAGGAAATCTAAATTTTCCATCAGTTCTGAGAACTCGTTTAGTCACTTAGAACCTGTTTCTCTTTATTTACAACATAATTTCTAATCATCGTCTTGCATCTGAGTTTTCCTGGTTGGAAACCTTATATGTAAAATACTTAAATGAAATGCAGTTCATTAATAAATTATGCTTGTAAATGATAGCCCCTCTTATAACCAAAGACATTTTATTGCTTTTTCCTGAACATCTCTTGTATGAAAGTATAAAGTTATGAGTATAATATCCTCAATTTGAGAGATGAAGAATGAAGACTACATATATCTTTCTGTCTGTTGTACCCTACGAGTTAACTTCACAACCTTTTATTAGTTACACAAAATGAAAAAATATTTTATTTCTTAATTTTAATAAATATTACTCCACTAAGCAATATAAAGCAGCTGAACCAATAACAAAAACCAAATGTGTAGTATGTAGCCTTGGGAAAAAATAGCCAATAGAAATTATGACAGTGTCATTTAACAGTTTAAATGAGATTGAGAGGAAAGGCATCATCTCACTTCTGTCAGAAGAAGAAGTAAAGAGACCATGAAGTGAAGACATTTCATGAGAACACGGAGCCATGATCACATTCTCTGTGTCCTTTAATGTGGGTATTTTATTTCTAATAATTTTGGACTCTAGTTTAACTCCAAGTCCTCTGTACCTCCTCCTTCCAAATGTGAATGGGTGGACAGTAATGGTTATGCCAAGGCCAAATGATCCCACGGCCACAGAATGTGCCATTGGCTCATGGCCATCTTCCTATCATTGGCTTTTTTTTTTTTTTTTTGGACAGGCAGAGTGGATAGTGAGAGAGAGAGACAGAGAGAAAGGTCTTCCTTTGCCTTTGGGTCACCCTCCAATGGCGCTGTGGCTGGCGCGCTGCGGCCAGCGCACCACGCTGATCTGAAGGCAGGAGCCAGGTACTTCTCCTGGTCTCCCATGGGGTGCAGGGCCCAAGGACTTGGGCCATCCTCCACTGCCTTCCCCGGCCACAGCAGAGAGCTGGCCTGGAAGAGGGGCAACTGGGACAGAATCCGGCGCCCCGACCTGGACTAGAACCTGGTGTGCCGGCGCCGCAGGTGGAGGATTAGCCTATTGAGCAGTGGTGCCAGCCCCTATCATTGGCTTTTATTTGCTAATACTGATCTTTGCCTATTTCTGATCTGAAAGAGGATTCCAAACTCTGAAAACAACTGGCATCAGATTCCAGGGTAGAAGATCTGGAAAAATTCAGTATTTGGCATCATGATTTACCCTTTTTCACTTAACAAAATATATTTTTTTTTGGAAGATCTTGGTGTTATGACAAACTCATATAATCTGTTTAGGCAGAGCTTGTGTAAGTTCTTTCACTCTGTTTTTATTCCTTCACCCATCTCAGCAGAATAATGAATCACAATTATTGCTTTCTTTATAAAACTTGACCTTTCTTTCAATTTTGGTGTAGAGATGTGTTTTTAACTTTCCAATTTTAATATATGACCCCAAATTTCACTTCTGCATTTGTTATTAACACTTCATGTTCTTGCCTGTTATTCTTTTCCTGAGATTATAGTTCTTTATCTTACATTAATAATGTATGTATTAGTGAAAACTTTGATAACAGTCTGGATACAAATAAAGAATCTAATGAATAACAGAGCTCTCACTATCCCCACTTTCCTCGATGTACATGCACACACAATTTTGCATATCAGTCCAGTCTCATATACACCTTCAAGTTTATTTTTAGATGCCCTGAGACCCTAGAGATCCTAGATAAGCAACAGTACTGTGCACTGATACTTTTCCAATATTGTCAAATTAATTTAAAGATACAAGACAGAATCAGAGATAACTAGCCACTGTCCCACTTATAAAATAACTGAACTTACCATCTTTATCAGTCTTCTTGTGTCCTCCTTATCAGTAAAATGAGTTGGTTGACTCACTTGATGTCTGGAGTCTTCTTAGCTCCAGATATCAGAGATCCCACAATTTCCTTTGCTAAGTTCTTTTACCTCACAAATCCCTATCATTCAGGAATGTGTGCTGTCCTTCTATAGGGATTGGAACAGTATGCATTGGGCATTCACAATTACACATTAAAGTTTTACTCATAAAGCTTTTGGGTGGCAGTACAGTCATATTTTATGATGAAAACTGAAAATCAGAGGAGTCAAATGCTTTTACTGTAGTCATGCAGGTTAATTTCAGTCAATAAGTGATTAGAATGGAATTCAGACCCATGATCCTTCACCCATTATTTTTTCACCATAATTTATTTTAGAATATTTGCTGAAAACTCTAAAAATGTGAATAAATAATTTAAAATGTGTTATGGTGTTTATTTTTAATGCAGGAATTTTTAATAGGTCATACCCACTAAAACAGCATCACACATTACCTGTGGTGGAAGCAATGGCAATCTTATGAAGGCGAGGAGCATACTCAGGTCATTGCATCTCCTCTGAGTGTCATACTTGACCCACATCATTAATGCATGGAAGATGGTTTCTTCATCAGGAACATTTACATCATCACTGGCCAATAGTTTATGGAGTTCCTCGGCTGGAAGGAGTAAAAACTCTTGATTTCTGATTACTTCCATTATATTTTCCTGCAGGGAGAAAACATCTTGGCATAAATTCTCCTTCACTTTTATTTAGCTAGTAAAGCATCGCTGAAAGAAATGAGAAAAGTAGTCAATAACCTTTGTTCTCATTATAACATAATCCTTGAGACTCAATTCTTCAGAAACTAGAAGCTGTTAAGATGAAAGCATTGTAATTGTAATTGAAGTGTAAATGTATCCCAGGCAGCACAGACCTTGTAATAACTGGAGGATTATAAAGTTGAGCTTTGTTATGCAGGCAGAATGTACTAAGTGATTAAACGTTCAAGTTTCAAGTGCACTGCTATGTAAGATTTGGTGAATATGAAAAGAATAACATTTCACATTTTAAAAGCTTAACTACATGTATTTGAATTAGAAAATGGCAACAAAAGTGCATAGAGAAAATGTTGTATGATGCATCATTGTTTATTCAAAGGAAAAAAAAAAGGACAAATTGGCCACAGAAGTCACAAAATTCCATATATTCTATCCTCTCAGTATCTCTTATACCTCTTTCCTCTCATGACAATTTCTTTGGCTTAGATTCACATTTCTTTTCTTCGAGATTGCTGCCATAACCTCCTAATTACTCTGCTTGCATCTATTTTTAGTTTCTCAATTGCATCCTATGTACCAATGCCAAAGTGGTATTTCTAAAACATAAATGAGCTCATGGAATAACTCTGATATTTTTGTTTTGTCTTATGGTCTCTCTTTGTCCTTTGGTTCAGACTTCTTATTTCGGTACACTGGTTCACTGTGATCTGATCTCTTGTGATCCTAATATTCATTACTTTCTGAAGTTGCATATCAGTCCCCCAAATTGTTTAAGTTTTTTTGAATTTATCATGCTGTTTGTCATGCTCTCCCTTATTCACTCCATTGATGAAAATAACCTTCATCTACATTGTTTTCCTAATTTCTGTCACATTTCAAGGTGCTCTGTTCAGTTTTATTTGATGTGGCCACACTTCTGCCATCTCTTCACAATGATGACATTTCTATCCCTTCCACAGCAGCCACCAAACTGCAGAAAAATTTTTGGTGCACTTGGGAGCTTTAACACCAAGGCTGTAAGAGCCTGCATTATGTAAAGTTGTATAACTAAATCTTGGCAGAGAGCTAGATTGTAGCCAGGGGCCATTAACATGCATACTGAATAGACAAAATGATGATCTTTGTAGAGGAAAATAAAGTTGTGCAAAGAGCACCAAATAACAGTGTTTTTCAAATACACTTTTTAATTTTTTATTATTTATTAAAGATCTGTTTATTTGAAAGGCAGAGTTACTCAGAGAGAAGGGGAGAGAGCAAGAGAGAGTGAGCGAAAGAGAAAGAGAATCTTCTATCAACTTGTTCACTCTGTAATGACCAGGGATGGACCAGGGTTCGACCAGGGTTCGACCAGGAGTCAGCAACTTCCTCTGCATCTCCCATGGAGGTACAGGGCCCCAAGTACTTGCGCCATCTTCTACTGCTTTCCCAGGCACATATGAAGAGAAATGGTTTAGAGATGGAGAAAACAGGACTAAAACCAGGGCCAATGTGGGATGATCACATCACAAGCATCGTCCAAACCCACGATGTCAAAACACCGGCATTTTTAAAACTAGTTATCAAACACTATTTACATTTTAAACAGAAAGGCTTCTGTGGATGATGGACGTTTAGAGAAGGCAAGATCCCACTGTCTGGCCTGCTTTTGCCTCACCTCCCTCCATGCCATCTGAGGCAGCTTCAGGGTAGATACAACTATACCTCTCAGATCATAAGTTTGAAGCCAAGGTATAGAAGAAAATTCAATAAGATGTATATTTTAGGATAAAAATGTTAACTATGGTAGGGATAAGTTTTTTTTAAAAGGGTGCAGTGACTATACTAAAACAGTAGATCATTTAGCAAGTTGCCATGAAATCCTATGTTGGATTCAAATTTATTTTTTAAGAAATCTGATCCATGTTATAGCTTGTTCTTGTAGTTGATGTGCCTTATTTTTTTCACATCAGCTGACATGTAGTTATATGTTATAGAATGATAATACAATTTGTATGTAATGTAAAGTGCTTATATTAATTAGTATCACAAAATAACAAAAGTTATTTTTGTTCTTGAAAACACGTTGGTACCCTGAGTTTCCTCAGGGCTTTAAATAGTATTGGGATTCTGGTATCCCATTACTGGGTGTTGGTGCAAGTCCCAGTTGTTCTGCTTCCTGAGTCAGCATCCTGTTGATGTTCCAAGAAAAGCAGAGGATTATGGCCCAAGTATTTGGTTCCCTGTCACCCATATGGGAAACCCAGATTGAATTTCGGGATCCTGACATTTTCCTGGTCCAGCTCTGGCTATTGTGGGCATTTGAGGAGTGAACCAGTCATGGAAGTGCTCTCTTTTTCTCTCCCTCTCTCTCTCACCCCTCCTTTTGCATTCTGTTACTCTGCCTATGAATAAATAAATCTTTTTTAAAAAGTGATATGTTAAATGGATCAAATACCTAAATCTATGACCCAATATCATCAAATTATTAGAGAACATGGGGAAAACCTGCAAGACATTAGCATAAGCAAAGACTTCTTGTCAAAGACTCTGGAAGCACAAGCAATCAAAGCAAAATTGACAAATGGGACTACATCAAGCTGAGAAGCTTCTGTGCTGCAAAAGAAACACTCAGCAAAGTGAAGAGGCAACAGACAGAATGGGAGAAAGTATCTGTAAACTATGCTACTGGTAAAGAGTTATTACCCATAATCTATAAAGAGCTCAAGAAATTCAACAACAAAACAAATAATCCAGTTAAGAAATGGGCAAAGGACATGAACAGGCATTTTTTAAGAGAGAAAATTCAAATGGTCAAAAGACACCTGAGAATATGCTCAGGATCATTAACCATCAGGGGAATGCAACTCAAAACCAAGGTGAGGTTTCACCTCACTCCAGTTAGAATGGCTCTCATATAGAAATCAACAAATGACAAATGCTGCCCAGGTTATGGGGAAAAGGTACCCTGGTCCACTGCTGGTGGGAATATAAACTGGTGCAGCCACTGTGGAAGACAGTATGGAGAAATCTGAATATAAACCTACCATGTGATCCAGCCATCCCACTCCTTGGAATTTACCCAAACCAAAAGAAATCAGTATATGAAAGAGTTATCTGTATCCCCATGTTCATTGCAACACAATTCACAATAGCCAAAATATGGAATGAACCCAGATGTCCATCAACTGCTGACTAGATAAAGAAATTATTGTTGGTTGTGGCATAGCAGGTAAAGAAATTATGGAGTATATACACTATATAGTACTACTCAACAATAAAAAAATGAAATCTTGTCATTTGCAACAAAATGCATGCAACTGGAAACCATTATAATTAGTGAAATAAGCCAGTGCTATAAAGACAGATATGTCATCCCTGATCTGAGGTAACTAATAGAACACCTGAAATGTAATGTATTTGAGTGAAATAGACATTTTGAGATCCAATGATTATTTATAGCCCTTGTCTATTTTGTTGAGGGGCAGTTTTTTTTCTCTTTATACTATTTGCTGAACTTTTTTACTTAGTGTAGGGTTAACTATATGATCATTAAGTAAACTGAAAATAGATCTTTGTAAAAATTAAGAGTGGGAATGTGAAAGGAAAGAGGAAGAAAGGTTGGAGCATGGGTGGGAGGGAAGTGTCACTATGTTCCCAAATCTGTATATATGAAATACATGAAACTAGTATAACTTAAAAAAATTAAAAAGTGCTATGTTAAATTATAATTGTTCAATAACTGCTATTGAGTTAACAAATGAAGAGTTATGAGAGTCAGTGAAATCAGATTGCTCTAAATAGCTAAAAGAAGAAAAAGACATTTTTAAGGAAACTTTGAAAGTTTTTGTCTATTTGTTTTCCCAGTTACCCAAGAACCCCTTGCTCTAATAAGCTACAGATGGAATTGTATAGCTATACCATCAAGATACAGTGAGAAATATCATTAAAAAACAGCTCTGTGAAACTCTTATGATGTCTATCTTAACGATATTTTTCACAGCATGTTTCATTTTATTTTATAGTGTCCTCTTTATGACAACCTTGGGAGAAATTTCTTTTGGGTGTTAGAAGTGGGAATAATCATATTTCTCTTGAGTAAATTGACTTGCTTTGATCATGGATGTTTTAAATTATGAAATTGATCTCCTTTTATTTAGCCTTAAGAAATGTTAGAGTCAAATTGAAATCTATGTGGCAGAAAGGCCACAGCCTTTTGTAGCCTGATTTCTTTTACAGACATCTCCAATAATAGCTTCATTTAATATCACTGTAGCAGTTTTAGTTTCTTTTTTACCTTTTATTCCTGCACTTAATTTGGGTTATATTCCTATAATGGTGGATCTTTGTGAGTCATGCTAAATATTTTGGGGACGATTAACATTGTTTCTTAAAAAGTGCTAAACTGGACAAGAGGAGCTGGTAACAGTTATTATTGAATATGTCACTGGCTTATATATTATGTTGCTCATGGTTTTTCTTTGCATATTTTGAAGTTCCGAAGTTCTCTTTGTTCATTGTTTCCCCTCTTTACCAATTTTCCTTTAATGGTAGCCTGCCTAATTTTCCTATGGTATTCACAGTCTAACTTCTAGAATTAATTCTTTTAGTTTCATTACATTTCACCCATGAAATAAATACCAATTTACACTAATTTCTTTTTACATTACTTTGGCACAGCAGCTAATTCACTGTTGCTTGTGATGATCTTTCAAAAAAGACAACTAAACTTTCGGCTGATTTCAGTATAACACATTTCTCTAATTTTAACCAGACATTCATTCAGCATAAATATACTAAACACCTGATGCATGACCTTCTTCACCACTGTTGTGAAGAGGACTAAGTGAATTGGAATCTAAACATTTATCATGGAGGATACATACATAAATGTACAATGTAGTTGTCCCTTAGTATTCACGGGGGATTGGTTACAGGACAATCCATGGATAATGCAATCTACAGATGTG